TCTGTGAGGGAAGTTCATACTTATCAATTAATGCTTTCATTTGCATCTAAAAAATATCTCCATTTTCACTATGTTTTCTTACTAATCGCGGATTAAAAAAGCAGCAACACTTTTTGTGGGTTTCTAATCATGGTTTTAGTAGTTCAGTTTGTATATAACATGCAACAAGCATACATTTTTGATACTGATTCTTTGTGAAAAAAATTTTAATACTGAATTTATAGATTTAACATATTAAAAAAAATCTTTATCTTGATTATGTATAATGGGCACTTTAAATATGATGTCATTATCACTCAATTTAGTGTCGTATATCGTTTTATTTACATCGAATTAACAGCTTTCGTTTTAGAATAAATGGTATTTATTATGATAAAAGCTTCAGCATACTTGTAATATTTCTTTCTTCTCCTTTGAAATTATTTTTTTATTCAATTTTTATTCTTTTTTGTAGACCGATTTTAAAAAAAATTGCTTTATACAAGCATTATCTTGTATGAATAAATTAATTTATTTTATTTTTATTTTCTTTTTTAATAACTAATAATTATTTTCTGCTTTTTTTAAATAATACGCAATTGTTAAATTTATTTTTAATTTAATATGAGTATAAACACTGAAGATGATTTACGAGATGGGCCGAAGTACAGTATTTGTAATAAAATTTTTTGAAATCAAAATTAATAATTTTTTAATACTAATAAAATCTATATCTAAATGTTATGCTCTTGATTCCGTTGTTTATATTGTACTATAGACAATGGAATATTAATTTATAAATATTAATTTATGTTAGATCCTGATCCTGATGAACGTTTAATTTTAACAAAAAGTGACCTTAAGTCCGATATAAAATATATAAAAAATATGAAAATGAACTTAACTATATATTTAATTAATCAAGTTTAATTTACCATAATAATCATATTAGGATATAAACAGCTTTAAGCGCGATCAAGTTTAATTCACCATAATAATCATATTAGGATATAAACAGCTTAAAGCGCGATAACCTTAAGTTATATGTATACCTTACGTTATTGTAATAAATGGCATATAATATAACAATAAATATTATTATGATATATATTATGATTAACACAAGTAGTTGCAGTTACAGACAAATGATAATACTATTGCATATAATTTATACATATTTATACATATATTTATACATATAATTTAATCCAATTTAATAAAAGATTTAACTTTAAAATAATTATAAAATTATTTTGATTTATTTACAACTCAAATAGTTTCATTTAACAATATTTTATTGTAATTTGAAAGCAAAAGAATTTAATTTGAAATTACTCAGTTTGTATAGTAATCAAGTAATTAACTAATTAACTGACAAATTAATTAACTAACTAAATTAACTAATTTCTAAAGTACAAATAATAATTTTGTAAACTTATTACAACAAATTTTAACTTTCCGGTTTATTTATTTTAATTTTTTTTATACAGTCTTAATATTTATATTTCTGTGGACACAAAAATTATAACTGTTTATATATTTTTTTATAAATTATCTTTTTATATGCAATTATACGATATTAAAATATTTTATCATTTTTTAATTAAATTTATTTTTTTTTTTTATAATTTTACTGCATCAAAATTTTGGCACATCAACAATATTTTTTCAATAATTTTTTGTTAATAAAACGCCATTAACTTCTGATTCGCTTCCTGTAATTATGAAATAATTTAATTATAAACAAATTTTTCGTTTGTTTGTAAAACATAAATGGAAATTTATCAAAGCAATAAAAGTGACAGCTGTCAACAGCGTGAACAGAGAGAAAAATATGAAAACAAAATATAAAAAATAATAATCAAAGTGTCCATAATAAATAACAAATAAGAAAGTAACAAACATAAAAGAAAATTAAATGAAACAAATAAAATCATAACAAATAAACAATAAAGAGAAATAAAAGTGATATTAAAAGCGACTATAAACATGAAAATAAAATAAATAAAAGAATAAAAGAAAAAGTAAATGGAGGAATCAATGTATTGCCTTCTCTGTCTGTCGTGGGCCACAGAAAAACTGCTGATAACTTATAATCTTTCTTTTATTCTGAATTATCTATAGTATATTTTTCGTTGTTTATTTTTGTATTAACAATTAATTTGTTAATTGTTTTTGTTTGTTTACAATTCAAATAATTATTTGTCATGTTTTGTTTGTTTAAAGTATTTATTAGAATAAATAATTGATTTTTTTTATTAACTAAAAATACACGAAGTGCATTAAAATGGTTTTGGCGCTTGAGCACTTCTTAGTAGAGCTTAAAACGTAGTTAGTACGATTGCAAAAAATCTAATATTAATTACTAAATAAACAAATACTTTTGGTAATTATATTGGCTAGCGATTAATATCTATTAAATAATAATATAAACACATTAAACATTGCTAAAATAATTAAGTGATTATTAAATAAATAAATAATCTTTGTAATATAATGGCTAGTTTTGATGCTTAATTATTTACTAGATAAAATTAATATAAAATAATAATTTTAATAATTTTAAATTTTTGTGTTCTATGTTAAGAGTTCTATAGTAAAGAGAGTAATAGTAAATAAATTTTTAAATTCAAAATTTAATATTTATTCAAGCGAATTCTTTAATTAGCTGTTTCTAAAATCGTCATTAGTAGTGTTTAGAAATATCTATTGGTTTAATTAAATCTTCATAAATTTCTAGACTGACTTCAATGTCTAGAAATTAGTCTTGTTGATTTTGAACCGCAGGCTTTCTCGTCTTGACACACAAAGGAAATTTATACTTATTTTGCGTTTTTAGAGTTTTTGATTTTTCGTTGTTTATTCGCAAACAAGAATTGCATTTTCTATGCTATTTTTAGAATAGACGCATAAACAACAGCTATAAATAAAATTAAATTTATGTACGAACCAGTTTAATATCAACATTTAGGTAAATTAAAAAAATTTTCTTAAAAATTAATGCAAATTTATGAAATACAATATATAAAAGTATTTATGTTTGAGCTGAAAATACGAATTCTAATATTTATACTATAAGAATTCGTATTTTTCCTATAAGTCAGAAGTTTAAAGCCATACGCTTTAATCTTGAAGTTTGAAAAAATTCATTCATCATTTTTTCATTCTTAATAATAATAATAATGTGTATTAAAAATAAAAATATTATTCACATATAAAAAATTTTCACTTATGTTGAATAGTAGTTCGACATTATCAAAATTTTTGATTATCATAATCTTTTATATTCAGTTTATTAGAATTTAGTTCACTTTGGGTGAGTTGGAATGACTGGGAGAGGGAGAGATAGCAATTTTTGGTATTAGCAATACTGCAGTTTGATGTCAAGTACTGAATTAGCGGTCTTCAAAAATAGTTTTCAGTGCTATACAGATTATTTTGTTAGTATCGAAACACTTATTAACAAATAATGTTAAAATTAACAAATTTTTATGATTTTATCTGCACAAGGGATTACAAAAAATGCGAAAGTTGTTGTTTTGAAAGCATTTAATTTTCAATTTTACTCAATTTAATCTCCTATTTCATTTCTTTTAAAGTAGTCTTCTTTTGATAATATGTGCTTACGTGATTGTAGTTTTAATCATTCCTTGTAATCAGTTTTTGTACCTAATTTTAAGCTTACTCTACACTTTTACATTACATTACATTTCCTCGAAATTTTAAAGTTGAAAAATCAAGATCTTCTTAGCTTATTAAACCAGAAAGATAATGAAAATATTAATATTTGAACCACTTTTTGTACTTAATTTTAAGCTCGTTCTTTATTTTTATATTATATTATAGTTCGAGAGATTATTTAAATCAAAAATGCAAGTTCTTCTTAGTTTATTGAATTAGAAATATAATGAAGATATCAATATTTATATAATACATATGCGGCTTTAATCATTTGATAAAAATGATAATTACTGATATAAAAGTAAGATGAACTACACTATCTTCCTTTCCTTAATTGATTCCATTAAATACTAAAGTTTTCTACTATCCAGATTAAGTATTACAGTCGACTTTACTATCCAGAAACTACAAATTGCTCAAAGTCAGGCTCTCCGAAGACTCTTCAAAGTACCATGGTACATCCGCACAAATGAGATGCTAAGATACCTTAAAATAGATGCGATCAAAAAATATATAAGGGACAGAGCCTAGCTATATGTGAAAACCTACAGGCTGTCCTACTTAGCACTATCTAATCTAAGAGTAATCACTAACCGTACGGGGCGGTATGCAGACCTTAGATCAGTCATTGAATAAGCACGAAGCTTATGACGAATACACAAATTAGTCAGTGAGATGGGTGGGACTTTGCACAAACCTCCCAGCTATCAAAGAGTAAAAGTGCCCAGACTGCACTAACTCGGAAAAGGCTCAACATCATACATTTTTGTTTAATATAATTTTAAGACAATATAATCAAATATACCAACAGGTAACAGCAGTGGCTGATTTCCTACGAATGTCTAAGCTTTTTATTGTTTAAAAATAATAATAAATAATTGAATAATTTTAAGACAATAGCATCGAATAGACAAAGAGATAACAGCAGTGGGTGATTTCCTTTGAATTTCAAAGTTTATATATTCATAAGAAAAAGAGAATTTATATTTCGTTCTTTAGATTTTAATTATTTATCATCCTAAGCAACAATTTATCTGGTTTTAGCTGTAAATGGAAACCATTTTGATTATAAATTAGAAGTAAAAACTTCAACCACTTAAATTCATAAACGACACATAAATTAAATTTCCTAGGAAACGCACTCTATTTCATTTAATTCCTTCACTCGGTTATTTTATTGAAGTGGTTTTTGTTCCAGCTCTCATATTGAATGCACCATTTCCTTATATTTCACACGTAGTGCCTTGCTTTGTCCTGTCATTATTTAGCTTTAAACACATTTCTCACATATTTCTTGGTATTTCCCTTAAATAATTTTCCTCAATTTTCTTTACTTGCAGGTACCGCCAGACACGTTTTAGTTCGCGTCGTGTACGGAAACGTGTTGTGTTCAAACATGGCGACTGCAATGTCGTGCAAGGAAACGTCGCCAAACGACGCCGCAGGTATCTACAGGTGAGTTGGTCTAGTGTGCGGAGCTTATATAAAAAGGAATTGGGTTTGATAGCCATGTTTTCATTTCCTGCGCTCCTCTTCGACCTGTAGCAATTATGCAACTCCTAAGTAAGGGGAGAGGGGGAAGGGGGGTTTTCTTTGACATTGCCACTGCAGGAACTGCTCTTAAGTAATCCTAACCCAGCGGCGTTCTGCAGTCACGCATTTTTGCTGGAAGCTCCCTCGCTTTTCTCTTGCGATTGTTGTTGTTCAGTTTTCCTTTCAATTTTAAATAATTGTTTGCATGTTAATAAGAGTTCAGGACAACATTTCTGTCGTGCACTTGGGATCGTTATTCATCGTTCAAGTCACGTAACTAGGATGCAGAAATGCAGTACCTACGTATTTGGAGAGTGGAGAGTGGGACGCTTAAGTCGCGCGCATATATTCACTCTTAATTATAAGCCATTTCAAGGCAATTGTCATGTGTTATGACGTTTGCTTTAAACGTTTCTATTTTTATAATAAAATGGGAGGTTGTCGGAACTGACAAGTGTCCCTGAAGACATCTTATGTGAGCTCATCTAAAATTTTTTAATGCAATTTTATAGTATTTATCTTCCGCAAAGCGAATTAAACTAAATGTGTGGGAACTAAATCTAATTTGTATAAGCTAATTTTTAAAAATTATAAACTATAAGAATAAAAAAGTTATTTTTATACTGTAAATAATACGTATATAGTTGTCATAATAGAGTAGAGGAATTAGTTTAAGGTTTTAAAACCAACTGCGAAAATGATTGGATGAAGTAAACAAAAATGTGTTAGATGCTATTAAATGAATTAAAATGCATATAAAAAGATAAGCTGAAAAAATCAATAAAAAAGAAGTAGACAGAGACAAGGCCATGAAGGAAGTGGAAAAGAGGACAATTAGACTATACAAAGGTTTAAAAAGAAAAGTCAAAAAACAGAAGAATAATTATAGAAATAGTGAGAGAAATAATATAAATAATAATAATAATAGAAAAAATGAAAAATAACACAAAAGATAATTTAAAACTGTAAAGATATTAAAGAAATTAGAGCTGCAATATTGAAGAAGACGAAGAAAGTAGAAAAAAGGGAAGAAGAAGGAAGGAAGTATGAAGAAGGAAGGAAGAAGAAGAAGGGAAGAAGAAGGAAAGAAGAACAAGGAAGGAATAAAAAGGAAAGAAGAAAAAGAAAGGAAGAAAAAGGAAGGAAGAAAAGGAAGGAAGAAGATATGTAAGTTGAAAAAGGAAAAAAAATGATGAAAAAGATAGTATCTAAAGTTTTATCTTCAGTTTCAGTTTAGATAATAGCCAAACAATATATAAAGCAAAGACAGTTTTAAACTTGCTTTTAATAAATCATTAACTCTCTTTACAGAAATAGGTGGCAATAATATCAATTAGTAATATATAATTAATTGAGAAGTTTTTTCACTTATAATTACAAATAAAATATTAACTAAAAATTTAGTGTAAAATATTATTTTAACACAATAGTCAACACGTATGTATAAATAGTAATATGAAGGTTTAACTTAATATTGGAGTTTATTATATATGAGCATTACCAGATATGCATATTACAGTTAACCAACTAAATTTATTTGTCGATTTTCATCTCGTAGATTCATATTTAGTCATGGAGAAAAATTTCAATAATAATAGTTAAGAAAGTAAAGTTAGAAAAATAATAGGTCGAGAAGAACATAAAACTATATAAAATATAATAAAAGTAAAATATAATCAAAAAAAAAAAATTAAATAAATAAGTATAGAGAAAAATAAATGTAAGAAGGAAAAGAGGAAAATAGATGGGAGAATATGCAATTTGAAAATTAGTAGCAGTGGTAGGTATTTTTATATCATATTATATCACATTTATATCATATTATACCATATCAGTATTTTTATTAGATAAAGTAGATAACACCACACTTGAGCATATATTAGATAAATATATTATATTATATATTATATTATATTTAAATAAATAAAATTATAGTTGTTTTTGTACAAAACTAGAACAAAGTTTGTATCTTGGTTGGGAATAAAAGAAATATATATGCAAAAGACTTAAGTTACGAATATTAAAATTAATTTCAAGAAACTGTTAGAATCAGAAGCAGGACCTTACCTCTTGAAACACTTTAGTGAGTACTAGTCAAATATGCTATACTTGGCTTTGTTACAGTAACTCAAGTACTTCATTATCAGCCTAATTAAGGGATGGTGTTTTTTTTGTTGTGAAGTAGTGGAGTTCTTTATGCATCGTCAAACCAACCCTTGTCTCCTTAACGCCCCCTCTTCGGAGAGGCATGTTTATTTAGCGATCTATTATTTTAACACATCTCTATTATTAGAGGACCCACGTAGTAGCTTTTATTTTTGTGAAAACTGAGGTAGTAACTTAATGAGGAAGTTACTATAGTAACGAGCATATAAATATCATGGGTACAACCAAGAAAAGTATATAGGATGGCGCTCCCCGAAAACAGTGTCGGATGAAATATTCCTTAATGAAAAAACTCTGATTTCCAATTTAGAATGTCAATTTAAATGCAATAACCTTATTTTTGTTGTAATATGTTATAGACATAAATTGGAAATCTTTCTTATTATTAACATTTTTTATTTTGCTCGTCAGGTTGTATTAAGGAAATTTGCAAATAATCACAAAAATTGTTCTAGCCCTTTCCTGCTTCGTTGCTTAGCTACTTCTACGCATAGAGTTTCAGTTATAAATAGAACTATTTTGTAAAAGATATGGAGAAAACGAATAAATCAATTTTCACTTAAGAGTTCCATAAATAATGATTCATAATATTTTTCTTCCGATTAATATGTAAATGTAAAATTAGTGAAGCAATGTTAAGAATGCTTTCTAATGTAATTTTTTCTTTCACAGGACATCTTTACCACATTGGTCGACGCACAATGGCGTTGGACTTTATTAGTATTCGCATTAAGCTTTCTCATATCATGGGCATTTTTTGGATTTATATGGTGGATTATCGCATATGCACACGGTGATCTCGAATATATATATATGCGCGATTTCCAACCAGATCAGATACAAAATACAACACATACCATGTGTGTGACAGAGGTGCGCAGTCTTATTTCGGCATTTTTATACTCAATCGAAACACAACATACGATAGGCTACGGTAATCGCTTCGTGACAGAAGAATGTCCAGAGGCGATATTTACAATGTGCCTACAATGTATAACTGGTGTCTTTATACAAGCATTTATGGTAGGCATTGTATTTGCAAAACTCTCACGTCCCAAAAAACGTGCACAAACCTTACTCTTCTCAAGGAATGCGGTCATATGTCATCGAGATGGTGTGCCGTGCTTGATGTTTCGAGTGGGTGATATGCGTAAATCTCATATTATAGAAGCTCATGTTAGAGCGCAAATTATAAGGAAGAAAGTAAGTTTGAACTGAAAAGGTGTATGAAATTAATATATTTACATATGTATTTTAATACTATTTGTAGATAACGAAAGAAGGTGAAATTCTGCCATTCTTCCAACAAGAGTTACATATCGGTGCTGATGGCGGTGAAGATCGCCTTATGTTCATATGGCCCACAACAATTGTACACAAAATCGATCGTAACAGTCCGCTCTATATGCTATCAGCATCGGACATGCTCAAAGAACGTTTCGAAGTTGTAGTAATGCTTGGTAAGTAGTTTGGAATTGTGATTAATGAAATCGATGTATTGTTTAATTGGTAATATTCTTACAGAGGGTGTCATTGAATCTACTGGTATGACGACACAAGCGCGTAGCAGTTATTTACCTTCCGAGATATTATGGGGGCATCGCTTTGTAAATTTAGTTTCCTTCCGAAAAGAGACAAGTGAATATGAAGTGGATTACACTTTATTCAATAACACATACGATGTTGATACCCCACTTTGCAGTGCTAAAGAACTAGATGGAGTGAAGCTGGAGTACGCCAAAAATGCTAAAAGCAGTTTAGGTAAACTTTTGCACATTTTATTTAAACACTTTTGTGTAACGACTCTATTAATTCTAGAACGCGCACTTTCTGCTGGTTTGCTGCAGCATATATCAAACCCGTCCGCGGATCATTTGGATCCCGCTAGTGATGAGTCTTTAGATTCAGCACATAATCGTTTACGTTCCAATTCCATATCGCATGAGGGCTTAGCCGATGAGCTACAGCCACTTAATAGGCAGATCAGCAATAGTAACGCACAGCATCGCACCTCATTTACGCTGGGCGGTACCATACCGATATTGGTCTCTAATGCTTCCACACTTCCAACAAATAATCTACAAAGTATTAATGAGCACACAAATTCCGGCAGCAGTAGTAATAGCAACAGTAATAACAGCACAACTATTAATATAGAAAGTTTAAGTAACAATAACAACAACAACAATAATAGCAGCCAAAAAAAACCGGGCAATACTAGGCGATTATCCATTAAACAAGACCAATTGCCCATAGATTCAATTTGCTGATATTTGCAGAATTTAATTGAAACTGTTCAATTTTAGGATTTTAACTATTTTAGTTGAGATGTTTTTTTAATTTTATTTATTATGATTTTTTGTTACATATTTTGTTGATTTTATTTCATGTGTTTTTAATATTTAAGTTGTCCCATAAAAAATGATTTTTATTTAAATTTTTTTTTCTTATTGTATAAAAGTATTCTTTTATATATATAGACTTAGGATAATTATAGCTTTAGTAATGTATAAACTCAATTTCCTTTTTTACATATATATAACATTTTCCAACAATTAATTTATATTAATATTTTTGCATAAATGTTTGAAAAAAAAAAAATTAAACAATTAAATTTTGTACAATGTCAAAATAATCAAAAATCTACAAAATCTTGCCTACAAAATAAAAACTAAAGTAAACTGTAAGATAAAAATATACATATATTAATGGAAAATAGAAAGGTTCTGAAATTGATACATATATTGTAGTTCAACTACTCTCAAAACTTAACATAATATAAAATTTCAAATATCTGGAGAGTCTGCTTTTAATTGGAATTAATGCACTTTTCGATCCATTTAACTCCGTTTAATACAAAATGAATTATTTGAATATTTATGTACAAAGGATTATTTACTTGGTGCAAATTTGTGTATTAGAATTTGCTAAATAGTTCAAATATCTAATTATTTGAATAATATTTATAGTATTACGATGAATGAAATTCTAAGTACAGTTCATGGTTATCAGAAGCAAATATTTTATTGTTCAATCTTGAGACCTTTAATATAAACCATTATAATATTCCTTGAGCTTACTTAGCTAATCTATATCAATGGTTAAATATTTTTTGTTTTTTGCTCAGATATGTAACAATAATGTTTAACAATATTCCTTGTTTAATATTCCTTGAGCTTACTTAGCTAATCTATATCAATGGTTAAATATTTTTTGTTTTTTGCTCAGATATGTAACAATAATAAAAGTTCGTATATCTTCAAAATATATATATATATATATATATATGCTTGGGTTTAGAAGTCTGGAGTATTAACAATTTCTAAGAACGGCCGGGTCATGTCCAGGATCCACTCGTCGATCCAGACGACTAAGTGCCGTTTAGCATAACAGATCATAGCGGGTTACAACAACAACATAACCAATTTCGTAACACTTTCATATATTGTGTGACATGTCAGGGAGAAACAAAAGAACTTATACTATTTAATTTTAAATGAATATTAAGATTTTTTGATTCATTGTAACATCGTTCCCAGAGAAAAAAATCAAAAAACTAAAAACCTGTAAAAACTCATATTAGCCTTTAAAAAACGAAATCATTATTATCAAAAAGTGAGTCCAAAACTACTAAGTAAATTTTTTTGAAATATAATTTTAGGACTAAGTGACCTCACTTAGAAAAGTAAGGTACATGGAAAACTTTTCTGCATCTATCCAGTAAATATTGGGCTTGAGTTCATAGTTCTAAAGATTTATCAACAGAAATGTTCTTTCTAGATTCAGATATCACACAACTGGCTGTATAAGCTCTTCACAGAATCTTGTTCTTTCCTTCTCCTAATGATGTTTTAGTTAAATTGTAGGCAAATTTCTTTTTTGAAATTGTCATAATTAGAAATAGAGATCCTCTTGAGTTTACTGGCTCATTCTGAATATCATATATATAGAGTAAAATTCTGAGTGTTGGAAATATACATAGAATTGAAACAAATTGTTAAATTGTTAAAGTTGTATAAAAATATTAAATTCATAACTTGTATTAACAGCTCAAACAAAAATTGTTCTATAACAATTTATATAATGAATTAAAATATAATGACTTAAAAGATTTCACTATATTTTTTCTCAGAACGGTTTTTAGACAAACCACGGTTTTTTATGTTTAAAAGAGGATACAATATATAATTTAATTAGGACATGGCCATATAGATTTGATACGATTAAATTTTTTTGTTACTTGCTATAGTCAGATCTCACGTGTATTAATTGTAGTACAAACTTTCACTTTTTTTACATTAAAAGCTTCTTCTATTACAGATTAAAATGCTTCCATTATATCTTCCGGGTAATGAACTCGGGAAAACTGATTAAAACTGATTAAAAAAAATTTTAACTTTTGAGGAAAAAAAGAAAAAAGTAAATAGAATATAATAAACTTCCAGTGTGTGTTATAAAATAAACTATAAACTAGGTTATTAAGGTGAAAACAGGGATGTTTTCAGTCCTGTGTCTTAACAATATTAAGCGGCTTAAAACTATTCTAATACTCTCCAGAAATCTCAAATGTTCTTCAAAAACTAAAATCCTACAACAGACAAAGTTCTTCTATAAAGGAGAAGAACTTAGTTCATAGCATATCTCTCATATGTTACGGTTTCACTATATAATAGAAAAATAGATGTGAAGCATCCTTATGTTTGTGTCATAATAGTGACAAATATTATTTATTAAATAAAGTTGAAATGACAATGCGTTAATTTCATTTATTTTATTTCTCAATTAAAAACAAGTTTTAAAATAAAGTGCCAGCTAATTGTACTAAAAACAGAAAATAGAAAAGGAAGTGAAAAGATGAAGAAAGATTGGGTAATAAATCGTAGCAAAATTTTTTCATTTTTAATATATTTGTTTTCTTTTATATCTAGAATGAAATATCTACAAATTCGAGTGATTTTTCTAATAAATAAATAGTAGTCTTTGTTCTATTTATAAATTGCATTTTATAGAACCAATTTCTTCCATTAAAAAATATAAAATGAAAAATAAATATTGTACATAAATAAAAAATAATATAATTTGTTTAATTTTTTTTTAAAAATTTTCTCAAAAGCTTTTAAAACAAAAATATGTAAAATTATGTAAAAATCATTTAAACTTTAAGCTAAAATAAAATTTTATTATAAATATAAAGGCTTTTAAATTATAAGAAGAAAAAAATCAACGGAACTTTTAGAACGAATTTATTTTAAAATAATATTTTTAAATATAAAATGAATTATTTTTGAAAACTTACTAAAAAAGAATATAAATTTTGAAAATTTAAATCAAATTAAAAATATATATAAAATATTTATATATGACTATTTAAAATAGTATTTAAACATTTCAATTAAAAACAAAATATTATTGTCCAAAGCTGTAATAATGTATTATATCACTACTGTATGTATATAATAAAAAAAGTATCTAAAATAAGATAAAAAAATTAAAGAAAATAAAATAATAAAAAAAAAATTAAATAATAAATATGGACAATAATAAATCATAAATCAAAATTCACAAAAAAGCAAAAAACAAAAAAACAAATAATTAAGAAACTATTTTTTAATAAGTAATAAAATAAAAAGAACTAAAAAGACCGATATAATAAAATTATATGTTTTGTTTATTGAAAGGACCTATATAAATATATAGATGCTTGTAATATAAGTTTTTTAAAATCCAGTCTTAAGTAGATGAGAAAGACAAGTTACTAAGACTTCTTCAGTAAGGTTGGGATAAGTTGGGTATATCAGCACTAGTTGATATCTTAACTTAGAAGACTACATATCGGATCGAAATTAAGATTGTCTAGTTAAATATTTCTCAATCGTCAGATCTATGGAAGACTGTGCTATTAATACACAACACGTATAATTTTTAATTGAAATGTATTCAAAAGCAATGGCTTGTTCTGTTCTATTGGTTGCAGGAATCATTAAGGATAATATACAGCCAAGGTAATGACATAAGTTTATTCTATAACAGATGTATGCGACTATTTTCCGTTTTTAAATAAAATTTCTTCTAAAGTTTTGAAATCAGTTGTGTTAGTAAGTCCCGAGTATGCCATGCCCCTTGGAGTAATTGCCTTAGCAATTATTGGCAATGTTCATGGGTTTTCAGAATTATTAGATATATACAGACAAGGAATGACAAGTTTTCTATACAGATGATGCGACTATTTCGTTGTTAAAATAAATTTCTTCTGAAAGTTTGAAATAGTTTGTTAGTAAGTCCCGTACCCATGCCCTGGAGTAATTGCCCTTGGCAATACGGCAATGTTCTATTGGTTGCAGGAATCATTAAGGATAATATACAGCCAAGGTAATGACATAAGTTTATTCTATAACAGATGTATGCGACTATTTTCCGTTTTTAAATAAAATTTCTTCTAAAGTTTTGAAATCAGTTGTGTTAGTAAGTCCCGAGTATGCCATGCCCCTTGGAGTAATTGCCCTTAGCAATTGCAACGCCACTGTTTACTTCAAATCCATCAATATAAATTATCACTTTTATTTGCAGTGCTTTTCTCTTAGAAAAGTAAGTAGTAAGTATAAAATATTATACATTATCATATATACTATAATATTATTATGATTAGGTTAAAGAACAATAGGAAGCTGGAAGAACAGTAATGGACATAGCAGTGGTTAACAATATTAAGCAATTTAGCGAATAGGATGGCAGTTTATTAAATTAATATATTAAACAGTATTTATGATAGTATAGCATTAGGAAAACTGTGACTCCCTTATATGCAATATTGTCCTTCATTAATACTTTTTGAGAGATAAATTGAAACGTTTAAGGGAAAATTAAAAGCAAAAGTTCTATGAATCTACAAACTGGAGTTCTCAAATTTTCTTCTATGAATTTACAAAAATATCAATCTTCATACTAAACAATTAGAAAAGAGAAGAGTGTAGTTTCAAGAAACAGACCATTTCATTTCAAAACCTTCAAAAGAAGATTTAGAAAGCAACAGAGAGTTTTGGACAGAAATCTAGTGAGCAAAAAACACTATTGCTGGTTATAGTTAATATCAAGTTAATATGTAAATAAATATGTAAAGAATATAAATAACTTTATGATATAAAATTAAAATCGCTGATGACAACAATATGAACATATAAAAGTATATTGTATGGCAGTAAACTCTTTCGATATATCGACGATTTCGACGATCTGAGATCGACCTTAGTAATATTAAATGTTTAAAACAAAAAGAGTCTTGCTCTCGTTGCCTAAATTGTTTAGAAGATTAGATCCAAGTTATAAAAGATGTAAGGTGTAT